GCAATTTCACACTTCAACTTCTTTGGAACTTTAATTGGGTCATCCAACTATAGTTTAATGCAAATTCATACTTCATCTTTTTGGAAACTTCAATTCAGTCATCCAAATATAGCTTAATAGTAAATTCATCCTTCATCTTTTAGGAAATTTCAATTGGATCATAAAACTATGCAATTTAGTACTTCAACTTTTAGGGAAGAAAAGTTTTGTCATTCAACTATTTTTTAATGTTAATTTTATCCTTGAACTTTGAGGTAACTATAATTTCAAAGCAATTGAATCCTTCAGCTTTTAGTAAACTTCAATTCGATCATCAAACTTTAGTGTAATTGCATCCTTCATCTTTTGGGAAATGCGAATTTAGTCATTCAACTATATTAATTAAATTTCATTCTTCAACTTTTTATGAAATTAAATTTGGTCATCAATTTTTACTCATTGTTTTCATCCTTCAGCCTTTGGAAAACTCCAATTTAGTAATCCACTATGTTTTACTTTGATTCCATCCTATGAGGGAATTTTTATTTGGTCATCCAACTATAGTTTAACTTATATTTCATCCTTCAACTTTTGGAAAATAAGTCCTCAAATTATTAGAAAACTTTTCTTCGGTTATCAAACTAATATAGAACATCAATCCAATCCTCCAACTATGAAGTTAGAGCAATTTGGTCACACACTAATATGAAACAGTAAATCAGTCCTCCACATATTAGAAAAATCAATTTGGTCATCCAACTATACTAAAACAGCAAATGGGCCTCATACTAATTAGAAAACTATTAGTTGGTCATCAAATTAGAAATTACTGATTCACTAGTCGGGATGACGAAATTTCGTTCACATCCAAATTCGATATTGTGGGAGACCCTAATATAATAGTTTTTGATCATCCAACTACATAACAATTTGATGATCTGGTCACCCAACTATAGAAAAAGGCAAAGGAGCCCTCTAACTATTACAAAATGTTGATTTGATCCCTTCCTTTTTTCCTAAAGTCAAAAGAAACTGTACTTCAACTGCGAATTTGTGCAAAAGAACCCATTAACAATGGATCCCTTCTCCTCGGCGGCGATTGCCCGTCAGACTTGGGAACTGGAAAACAACATAGTCACCACCACTGCCGCCGCAGACAACGCGGCCGCGTCGGACGCAATATTCTACTACGACGAGGCGGCGCAGGCTAATTTCCAGCAAGAAAAGCCGTGGGCCAACGATCCACACTATTTCAAACGCGTGAAGGTCTCTGCACTAGCCCTCCTCAAGATGGTCGTCCATGCCCGCTCCGGCGGCAACATTGAGGTCATGGGACTCATGCAAGGAAAGACCGATGGCGACACTATTATTGTTATGGACGCTTTTGCCCTCCCTGTTGAGGGGACTGAAACTAGGGTGAATGCCCAGGCTGATGCTTATGAGTACATGGTCGATTATTCACAGACCAACAAAGAGGTTTGTGGATTTTGAATTCATGTATTAAATGAAATTGTGCTGAACATAATAGGAATGCATTTGATGTTACTACTATTTGGTTGTATTGTGATTGATGGAATTCTGACTACTAATGCACAAGAGTAAAGGGATTTTCATAGAATTTTTTTGTGGGTTGTTTATATGAAAAAGTTGCGTAATTATTTAGGAGCAATTGTAGGAAGTGACGATATGGGAATTTTTTGGTGTGCTGTAAAAAAATTTCACTTTGCAATATTGAGTTACATTAATCTTTGGATATCTAAGCAGTTTTACACTGATAGTTTGGGTAATTTTTTGTTTTTGTATGTCTGAAAAATTTATGCACGCCCTTTGATATAGAAGCATGATAATGAAACTACACTGCCCATAAATAATATGGTGCAATCATGTGGATGTTTATGTAAAATTATTCTATACTTATCCAAAATAGTCAGTTCATTCCCTTTTTCTTCTATCTTGGGGAAGGGTTTGTCTCCTTATAGTCCTGGAGGACATTGTTAATGAGGTTTAATTTTTGAAGTGTAAAGTACTTAACAGATGTAGAAGAAGTACATCGTGATTAGACAGGTTCATGTTCTAAAGGAAATTTAAAACAAGAAACTATCTATAAAGCATAGAGTACTTGTACCTTAATCCTTGGAGATAACAGAGCTCCAGAATTAAAAGTAATTTGAGAATTCCATCAATCTTTTCAAGTTTTAACTGGTAAATTACTCAATTTAGAGGTTTATTATTTCTTTTGCATATAAATCCATATTTATGCATTCTTCTAAGAGAGGTAACTTTAGAGGGAAGACTCTAAAAACTAATAATGGATCTAGTCTTAATGGTTTAATATTTCATTATCGTCAATAAATTACTAATTTCTTATTATGGGATTTTCTGGACTATAATTTTATCTGTATCTTAAATATTAATATTGAAATGTTCAGTAGTTAGTTAGTGTTCTAAAATTCCTTTAGGGGGAAAATTTGAATGCATTATATACTTTATGCGAAGTTTGTTCATATTTTAATATGCATTTAGCAATTAGCAAACCCAATTATCTTATGAGTTAAATAATTTGAGCACTTCATTGTATACATCTCTCAAGTCTTTTTATCATCTATGTTCAATTTTTAAAGGACAAGTTACATATGGTTTGCAACTAGTCTATGGATACTGAAAATTAGTAAAACAACGTTTGTTTGAAGAAAAATGATTGATATTTCCCTTTTTATATAAAAAGATTTAGTCTTTTCTTCTATAATTTTATGAGATTAATATCAGTTAGATGGTCTACAGGATTCTTTTCTTGTCTACTTAGACGTCAAACAATATTTTTCATAAAGAAAAGTGAGAACAGTTAGGCCACAAACTGTATTATGAAGGACAATCTAGAAGGAGGATAACCTGGGAAAGTTGAATACATAGTTCAAAATTGCAGAGTTCTTTACTCTCTAGATGGTGTTACCAGATGTAGAGGTCATCTGGCATCAATTACTACTTTGTATACTCTGATTTTGGTGCTTTTTCTAATAATCTCAAGTAGCCCTCTCTCTTCATTTTCTTTTACTGGTGATGAGCTATCTGGTAGTGAATTTTAGTAGCGCAACATCAAGTCATTGGTTTGCTTTTTTCCCCCTGAAAGTGGACATCCAATCATTTGTCCGCATCACACCTATTACCAATTACATTCTCTTATGTCTAAAATTTTATTTATCTCTATCTAGGTTTTGTTCTCCTTAGTGCTTTGTTAACTAAGTATCCTTTTTTGAGGTTATTGTCTCACATTGAATTTTGTGGCTGAAGGCGGGTCGACTGGAGAATGCTGTCGGGTGGTACCATTCCCATCCTGGTTATGGATGTTGGCTTTCTGGCATTGATGTCTCCACACAAATGCTTAACCAGCAATATCAGGAGCCCTTCCTAGCAGTTGTTATTGATCCAACTAGGACAGTTTCAGCTGGTAAAGTTGACATTGGTGCTTTCAGGACATACCCAGAAGGTTACAAGCCTCCAGATGAGCCTGTCTCTGAGTATCAGACAATTCCCTTGAACAAAATTGAAGACTTCGGTGTGCATTGTAAGCAGGTGATGACACGTGACAAATGTATTGTTCTCAAACTCTTTTTACTTTCTTAGTATAATCTCATTTTGTCTTGCAGTATTATGCATTGGATATTACATATTTCAAGTCATCTCTTGATTGTGAACTCTTGGATCTTCTGTGGAATAAATATTGGGTGAACACCCTTTCTTCTTCTCCTTTGCTTGGTAATGGGGACTATGTTGCTGGTCAAATCTCAGATTTAGGTAATATTCTTGCTAATATTGCGAGTTCTTTATTTGTTTCCACCATCAATTGTTTTGACAACAAGCCTGTCCTGTTAGCATTGCTACAATGGTTCTTCTTCAAAAATTGCTGTAGGTGATGTTTATAGTCGAGTAAATTCTGTTATGTTAATTAGTGCATCTGATGTTATGCAGCTGAAAAACTGGAGCATGCTGAAAATCAATTGGCTCATTCGCGCTTTGGACCCTTTATAGCACCTGCTCAAAAGAAGAAAGAGGTCAGTGTAATGTTCAGCTATAACTTTTGCTTCCTTTCTCACAGTAGACTATCTGCCCTTAGGTGGAGATTGCTATTTGCTTTTCTGTATTCTTTCATATGTTAAGATCTTCTCTGTTTAAGTCTTTTGTAGTTCACAATTCTCTTAATGCAAGAAATTGTTTTCGAGTCAATTGATCAGTGAATGTTGTTAATGTAGAACAAGAAGTTTCTCCATGCTTTTCCTGGAAATATTAAAGGAAGATTGGTAGCAATTTTTAAATGTAGTGAATAGTTGTCGTGGCTACAAGGATCAGCTCATTTTTTTTCCGGGACTTTGTAATTAATCATTCTTCAGAGAGAATTTTATTGGAGGATGAAGAGCGGGTTAAATTGACATTATGAAGTGTTTTCTCATTTTGTTTTGGGGTTTTGGGGATTGCTAGTTCTTCCAGTCAGTAAAATCATGCTACCTCTCTTCCCACATAACGGTGATTGGTCTATTTCTGTGAGCTAGTTGTTTAACATAATTCAAGCTCATTTAGAATCAATAGGAAAAACTAGTGATTACATGTGGCTGTCTTCGATGTTACAAGAGCAGTTGCATGTGAAATATTTTCAATTTTAGAATCAAAGAAATAAGTCGCAGCACGTAGCTATTATTATCGTTACAAGATAAACTTCACATGCAATTTGTAAATTTTACAGTAATGGCAATTCTTTATATTATATGAACTATATCTCGCAAAATTTGTAAAACTGTGGTCTTTTGGCCCTATATTTATTAGTGCTCTTATTGGATTCTTGAGTGAGCAAATTTGATATATTCCAAATTTCAATCGTTCTTGTTCTACTCTCATAATTCATAAATATTGAACATCTTCCTTATATGCATTGTTAACATTTAACAGTAAGGATTTATTGCTAGCAGGAAGCGAAGGCTGCATTTATGCTGCCAAACAACAGCTTTTAAGTTGTGACATTCTCATTAACTATTAAATGAGATTTCTCAATCTTACTGGACTTGAGAATGTGAAAGTGCTCAAATAGGTTTCTTGGGCCATTTTTTTTGCTGGTCCAGGTGATAAGTACAATTAATTCACAATAAAATTTCCGCCACTGTGTATGTTTATCAATCCCAAATCATACTGGACATGGAGATCAAACTTTACAGATTGGCTTGTCCTATTTTCACATCTTGCTCTATAAATGTAACTGTGCAGTGCCTCACCTTCTATCAGCCCATCAGGAATGAACATTTATAAGCATCTATATGCATATATGTGTATGCGATGCAAAAATCTTTCCTATCCTTCTGTTTTCTTTGAAATTTCCCTTACTGATAATTATCTGTTTCAGGAAGAATCTCAACTTGCCAAGATTACTCGTGATAGTGCAAAGATAACCGTTGAGCAGGTTCATGGTTTGATGTCACAGGTAAACTGCCTCTTTTACATCATTAACCTTTTTCTTACATATTGAGAGATTTTAGTTGCAGACTTTTGGGTTCAACTGATCCATGTATCACTATTTAGGTTATAAAGGATATACTTTTCAACACAGTTCGGCAGTCTGACAGATCTCAGGCAGAGTCGTCTGGTCCAGAACCGATGGTTGAAACCTAATCTCATGGTTGACAAATTGTGCCACCTGGACTTGATCTTCGTAGAATTTCTTGGAAGTTCTTGTATTTGCAAATACTTATATTGATGCAACTACTTGACTTGTCAAAATGTGGGCTAGAAAATTAGAGAGCTTATGCTATTTTCAATCTTTTGCACTTTGAGATTAGTGATAGTAATTTGTTTGTTATCTTCACTCTCCATACATATATATTCTTGCCTACCTAGGGGTTCTTTCTACTTGGGTTATTGACATGGAGTGGATTGAGTCGAATCATACTAATTAAGCTCTTGTTTGATCCTATTATTTTCAAAATATATTATTTTCTCTTCTTTTTAACCCACACATTCTCTAATAAATTAATATTAAACTCAAACTCAAACTTAAAACTTTTACTTATTTTTTAATCACGCCGTCTCCATCAATCTACGACTCTAAAATGAATTCTTTCAATAAAATTAGGCTCAAATGAGCTATAATTTGTATTCTACAACTCAGAGCTTACTTAATAGATGTTAATTTATCGTTACTTTTTGAGCTTGAACTTAATGTGACCCGAGTGAATAACACAATAGGGGTTCGTTCTTCCACCAAACAAGTTTTGGTATATCAATCAACTGTTGTTTTAACTTGGTGGAAACAAAATTATTTTCCTTGGGACCTCTCAAATAGAAATAAATAAGGAAATAACTAGAAAGGTTGTTAGAATCACCTTTTCGTGGTGATTTTTCGTTTATGAAGTTGTTACTTCCAAAAAATCAACCATATTTTTACCATTTTTGGTGCAAAATGGTTGAAATATGAGACAAAAAAACAAAATAGTTCAACTATAAAACCTAAGATGCATGATACTGAAAAGAGTAATGTTATTTAACATTTATTGTGCTACAGTACATGTCTACACGACATTAAGTAATAGGTCCAATTAGAGGTGTGAATATGAGACTCGTTTACTAAAAAACTCGGATTAAAATGTATGACAATAAAAGATTGCTTTAAAATACGACAGTTTTATTATCTCGACGACTGTGATTTGGAATGAGTTTGGTGCCATCCTGTTGAGGTAGAAAATGCCGAGGCATTGGCATCTAGAGATGGATAGATTATCACCGAGGAAAAAGGGTTTCAGACTGTTAAGATGGAGTGTGACTTTCTTCGAATGGCGTATACTTTCATTCTTGGAGATATATGCTTACGTTCAGCGAGGTTCTTGTTATTATATTCATAGAGAATAAAGTAGTCTACGTAGTTGCTAGAGACAGCAACTTAACCCCTGTTTGACAATCATTTTTTTTAGAAAATGAAATTTTGAATAGTGAGTTTTAAGAAATAGTAATAATATTTGGCGCTACTGGTATTTAGCACTGATTTAGATGACAATTAGATGTGATTAAATGAAAGATTTATTTAAATGCAAAGTGAAAACGTCCGTTTAATTGCACTTATAAAGTGTGGACATCTAGACAAATGTTCTATCATCACTGGTGCTAAATAACATTATTTTTTTGTTTTTAAATGTGTGATTAAAAAATTTAAAAAAAAATAATTTGGATTCACGTATAAAATATTAATATTTTATTGTTTGAATGTATAGTTAAACACAAGTACATAGAAAAAATAATGGTAGTCAAGAGTTTAATGTATAATAATTCAATAGTAAAATACGATATTTTTGCTGGTTCAATTATGCTACTTGTACAAAGGTGGTTTACAAAAGTGTTCGACAAAATGATGTGGCAAGATGTATGTCATTGATTTCAAAAATTATTTTTTAAATCATTGGCCAAGACGTTATCAACACGTATTTTGTAAACCAATTTTGTTATCTAACTTTGTGCAAGTAGCATGAATCTGTGTCAAGAACTGCAGCTTCAACTAGCCCCTTGACGCGCACATTGTATATATTTTATTTCAATTGTAAAATATATGTAATATTGGAAAAATTTAGTATGATTCCTCGGAATTTAAACGTCGACTCCTATCAATTAGGTTTTTGTGTAGATTGCTATTATAAGGGGTATTAGTCTTTCAAACAATCTTTCAAACTTTCTAGTGTTCACTAACTATTGTAATTTCATGCTTTCATCAATTATAATTTCTAACTTTCAAGTAATCAATGATCAATTTAGTTTCAATGTATTTCAATTTCATGTTGCAAGTAATCTACAATTGTAATCAAATTGTCTTTCGTTCCGAAACGACTGAGCAAAGGAGAAAACTAGTCTAACGAAACATAGTACTGCTACATAGTTTCCCTTTCTATGTCTAGAAAAATGGCACCTCGTGAAACTCTGGCTGGTTTAGAAGTAACTTTAAAGCTAGAAATCAAATAGCTATGTGGCAACAAACAGACCAACAGATTTCAATGGGTCCCAATTCAGATTTTCAATCCCAAAAACAAATCACCAATCCCACTCCGTTACACATCATTACGCAGGCTATCCATGGCTGTTGCAGCCTCTGCTTCGACTGCTCTCGTTAGAGTTCCCCAGCTTTTCACCTCCACTTCTAATTGCCGGAATTTTCCACTTCATCGCCGGTGGTCTATCAAGACCGGCAGTGGTAGAATTTATGCTTCGGTATCAGCTGCAACCCCTTTGCCTACTACGCCGGATGATCTCGCCGCATCCATCGTTTCCAAGGTACCATTTTTGCTTATTGGAAGTAGTTCAATTGTTAGGACAATTCTGTGGTAAATTTGATTTATTTGCGGACCCAATGAATTATACTCTTCGCAAGCAACATGAGGTCCATGAGTAATGTATGCCATCGTTCACGGTCAGGTCCTCCAAGGCATGCCTACTTTTGTATTACCGTTACAAGAACTTTCCACTACTCATCTTTAAAACTGGCTTATAAGAGAAGGGTACCCACGTGCTTATATAGTACAGGTCTTTAGCCAGAAGTAATTTTTACAGCGTCTTGAATTGATGCCAACTTACTTGACCACTATATGTTAGTATTCATTTGCCAGGGGTGAGGGGTGGAGCCTAAAGTTATAGTCGATTTTTCTTAACTGGTGCAGTGGACTTCTGGTTCTCTATAGGTGGGGACGAAATATATGTCAATAAGATTGAATAAGATTACGGAGATCGTCGAAAATTGAATAAGATTCCGGAGTTCGTAAAAAAATACGATTATATTATTATAATTGTATTAGATATAGATATATTGTTTTTACTATTAATTAATATTGTAATTGATTACTTCCATATTTATTTGTTATTTTAGTCCTATTTAATGAGAGAATCTCTCACACAGAGGGGTATGGAGTCTTTTATTGAGTATATTTGACGTGGTATCAGATCCGTTCTGATTCTAAACAAATTAACCCTTGNTAATGTAAACGTAGTGAGCTTGCTGTCTTATTTCATCTTGGATGCGCGGAGGAGGATCAGCTTTGAGTTTTTTGGTGTGGGTGGTTTTGTGAGATTTCTTCCACCTACAGCATTTGGAGTTTTGGCCGGTGTTTTGGCGTTAGGGCTTTTGTTGGAACACAAATTATGTGTTCGACTAAGTTCTCCCGACAGATAGAGCTCACTGTGTGTGTTGGCACACTTCGTAAATTTCTTTTGGAAATTCTTTTTGAGGAGTGTGAGTTCTCGTAGTATCTTTGGAGTGTTCTTGAAGTGACTTCAGAGTAGTTCTTTGTTGTTTCTACATTATTTGTTGTTCTTGGTCTCTCGTCATCACTAATTTTCGTAGTTGGTTGCTTTGATTTGNTTGAGTTTTATAATGCTTCCACATTAACTTGTTAGATTAGTTAGTTTAGTATAGATTTTAGATTTTTAATATGAAACTCATTCATAAACTAATCTTGTTATTTGATGGTGTAACATGTCAATAAGATTGAATAAGATTACAAAGATCATCAAATATTACTAATATATTGTTATAATTGTATTAGATATAGATAAAATGTTTTTTACCATTAATTAATATTGTAATTGATTGCTTTCATATTTAGTTGTTATTTTAGTCCTATTTAATGAGGGAACCTTTCACAAAGAGGAGTATCGAGTCTTTTATTGAGTATATTTGACAATAGATACTAATAACGAAAATAGTTCCTACTTATTCGATCATGTATTTCTTTAGGATAAATCAATGCAATTGAGAAAGAATCAGTGGAAGGACATCAGTAAAAAAAAAATAAAAAATAAAAAATGGAGAACCAACAATATAGGAGGAGAAAAGGACACTGCTGAGCCATAAGTCCATAAAAAGCTAGCAAAAAGTAATGGAATGGATCATATTCGACAAGCTTTTAGGTCAACTTTAATTGAAAACATGTATTATTCTGTTTGCTACTGGATGCCTACACACCACTGGAGAAATGAGAGAAACATATATAACAAAGCTAACATAAAAAAATGTAAGATGAAATATACGACTGAAGGTTTAAACTTTGGAGAGTGCCCCAATATTAGAAGATATTATCTTGTAGGTACCACAACACTAATAGACAAAGCAACTACTTTAAACAGCCATGGAACTTTTCTTTGAGAAGATTCCAAATCTGTATGAAGTAATATGCATATTACATAGAGAGGTTTTTCAGAATGTCTACTAGATTCTGATGGCTTTTTGTTTGCAGAATATCCTTTATCTTCTCACTTTCTAACCCAATTCTTCAATTACTTGATTATTTTATAATCAGCAGCAGATTTTAACTATGATGGAATCATATGTTGTAGAATTCGGCGAATACTGGGGTTGCTGGACACTTTTGTCATACACGAAGATTGGTTAGAGAAAGATGGAGAAATCAAAAGTCATGAGAACAATCTGAATAAAAACCGTTATTTCAATCTTTAACTTTGTGTCAATCAGCAAATGGAACTAAAATGTAGCCAATCTCTGTTTACAGTGAATTATAAGAGAGATGAGTAAGTAAAGAACTCTCATGTGTGATATCTATGTTTAAATGGAATTATTATGTAAATTAACTCCTAAACCACGAATGAAAATAATTCTTGAGATCCATTTTTTTCGAAAATTCGATGTCTTTGTATATCCATCATGCACATGGACCCATTAGTAAGCACAGCCATAAGGACAGACAAATCCGTTAATGTGTCTAAAGAATGGTCAAGACATGGTCTAAAGAATGAGAACAATCTCCTTCAGCTACGAAGTTGTCTATACTAAACTGGTTTGTGTCGACGTTTTATTTAAAATGGTTTCTGTTTCCAGGTAATTTCAGTAATGAACACTAGATGCTTGACTCACCAATGTTTTTATTCTTTGAGTTGGTATATAATAATTACAAGGCTTGCATTTTCTATCTCGTGCTAATAAGATCGAAATATATTTTCTTTCCCACAGTACTCTAATTTGATAAGGCATTATGACAGTTTTAAGGTATCTGAACATTCATGGTATCTGAACCTTCATGTATTACATAGTTTAGTACTTATCTTAAATTTCATATGTATTGTTTGCAAATTCCAATATGTGTGTTAGATCTCGAAGTTTCTCCCTTTACGACATTTTATATGTACTAATAGTTCTTTATTTATCAGTTTGTGCTGTAAGTCATTTTCTGCGTTTTAGACAGGATAATTCATCCTTTCAGCTGCCTTATTTCTGTTATTTCCATCTATTAAAGTTTATATTGCTTCTATCTGTGAATGATGCTTTCTGAGAACTTTCAAATGTAAAGAAGACTGAGATTTATCACTTAATTAGGTCATGCAAACAGATCGAGGAGTTCTGCTGACGAGAGATGAACACCAAAAGGTGGCTGAAGTGGCTACTGAATTGCAAAGGTTTTGTGTTGATGAGCCTGTAAAATGCCCACTTATATTTGGAGGTAAAAAATCCCATTCTGGGTAATTCTAATCAGTTACTGATTTTGAATCCTGCTTTCAATTCGAAATTATTGATTAATACTGACTTGGGTACATTTGAAATGTTGAAAGTTGTTCACAGAAGAGAAATTGACAATTTCCCGTGCAATTTGGTTGCTGTCGTAAAATGAATTCTTATAATTGATTCTTCTGCAAAACACTTTATTCAAATAATGGTTTGTCCTACACGATCTTCTTAGAGATAGAAAATTCTTTGGTTTGAATGGCGTTGAAGCATATAATGTGGCAGTTGATGGCTCTGCTGCAGGCTACGTTGTGCAATAATTAAGCATTGCCCAAGTTTGAGGTTAAGCTACTCCTCATTTGTCTCAATAAAAACCAATCATTCTCTTTCAGATATCTGATCAGTTCTTTTATTTAACTTTCCACTAATTTTTTAAGATGGCTGCACAGACACTTTGAAGTTTCATACAAGAGGAAACTGTAGTGACATTGAATATAAAGATACGTTAGCTTTCCGCTGTGTGATTTTGAATATGGATTTGCTGAAACTTCACCGAAATTTTATTGACGCTGAATTGCTTCTAAATAATGCTGTAATCAGACTTAGTATCATCCCATTTTTATTTTTATTTTTCAATTATTCCAACAAAAGAGAACCTTAGTTCAAGAAATGAAGTGCTCGCTGATGTCGAATGTTTGTCTTCTCTCTGCAGAGTGGGATGTGCTATATTGTTCCAACCCTACATCACCTGGTGGCGGCTATCGGAGTTCAATTGGACGCCTATTTTTCAAAACCAACGAAATGATTCAGGTTGTTGAAGCCCCTGACTCAGTGAGAAACAGAGTATCCTTTTCTCTCCTAGGGCTCCTAGAAGGAGAGGTTTCATTGAAGGGTAAATCCGATCGCCAAACTTTTTCTTTGATTTTCTTTTTTATTTATAACCCAAGTATTAGGGAATTCTTTCCTTCTATGGATACCATTCAACCAATAGATCAAGATTCGGTGTAGCTGCTTTTGCTGAAACTCGTATATCATCTTGAAAACTTACTCCATGCTTGAAACATCAAGTAATGAGAGATGGAAATTTAAACTAACCTGGTTCAGCTGCAAAATTTATCAATCCTTTAGTTTCATTGAGGTATTGATATGGCCTCGTAACTATGTTGCCCAAGAACCTAGTGTACACTTAAGCCTCAATCGTATATTAAGTTCACACAATCTCATTCCTATGTCCAACAATCAGCCTGATGGTGAAGTAAACACTGCCTGTATTAGCTAGTACGTAGTATATGTCATAAATTGAAACTGGTCTTCTATGGATAAGCTTAGGCCACTGATTAAGTGTGGCAATTTGTTCTCTCTGGCACAAAGTTATTGTCTATTCCTCCATTCAGTCTTTCTTCTGGTATTATTCCATTAATTTACATTCTATTAGCAACCTGCACGATTAAATTTCGTCATGATTCATGTCATATATGCGTAGACTGCTGTTGGTGGAACACAGAATTCTGTATTGCCACTATATCATTTGTTAATCGAGCTCCCTTGCAATATTAGTTATTCTATTATTTGTCAAATTTAACCAAACTTTGATATGAAAACGTTTATGGTATGTATGATCTGATAGGGTAGTTTAGAACATAGAAGTGAATTGTTATCTATTATACTGCACTTAATTCTCAAGTTGATATGCAGGGAAACTAACGGCTTTGGACGAAAAATGGATTCAAGTAGTGTTCGAGCCACCTGAACTCAAGGTTGGAGGACTGGAGTTCACATATGGTGGGGAGAGTGAAGTGAAGCTAGAGATTACATACATAGATGAGAAGATCAGACTGGGAAAAGGTTCTAGAGGTTCTCTCTTTGTTTTTCAGAGACGCAAACAAATCTCATGAAACACTCAATTTTTTTTTTTGAATAAACACTCTTTTTTTACCATAATATTTTTTTTAACTTTTTTGATTGGTACAAAAATAACAGAGTAATTGTAATACAACACTGGTAATTTAGTGGGACCGACCTTGTTTTAATCAAGAATTCTTCACTTCCATAGAATGTTTCTATGTTAAGGGAGTTTGCTTCAATTTTTTCTTGTTTCAAGCGGCGGATAGGGGGCAATGACTAGAGGTGTAAAGTGGTACGACCGGTTTGTGCAGCCAGACATTGGCAGTCCACTTGGCCATGCACATGTGGGCAGTTTTTTACTGTCTGCTTAATTGTCATCAAGAGGTTAGCAAGGATCTTGGTTAAATGAAGCATAAAAACGACTGTTTTTAATTGCCTAAAACACACTTCGAGGCATAAACAAAAAATAATACCATCAATTGATCCATGAGAAGAGATCAACTGCATGTCTATATATCTACCAATGCAGAAACCATGAAAATCTCGACAGGTTTGACACCATCTTCTTGCTTCTCAACTTCCAAGCTAGTATTGTATGCACTGGTCATCTCGTCTCTCTTGGCCTTCATGCTCGATTCACTGTCCAGTCACAGAGAATGCAAATCCCTCGTTAGTGATAGCCCTGGAATCCATATCTCCTTCACTAGCATATGAAGAGAAGTCGTCATCCCAATCCCTTTCCTTTAACTCTCCAATTTTCTCGACAGCTTCATTCAAATCCCACCTTTTCTCCACATCCCATTCACAGCAACACATCCCAATTTTCAGAAGCCTCATCATCTGACTTTCCCCGTTCCGGGTCGGATTCATTTCTTTGTCGAACACCTCACCAGTCCACTCTTCTCTTATAACAGACTTAATCCATGCAGCCAAATCAGCATTGTCTCCTCTCCCTTGTTTTAGATAATTCGTCGGAAACCTGCCGGTGAGCAACTCTAGTATCAAAATCCCAAGATTCCACGCATCAGTCTTTCTAGTTAAACTTTCATTTTGTGTCGACTCTGGTGATTTATAGGCTACCATAAACTGTTGGGCATGCTCCTTGTTGATCACTGGTGCTAGGGCATAATCAGCTAGAAGGGGTTCATATGTGTTGTTTAGCAGAACATTGGATGACTTTAGATGACCATGAGGTAGGGTTAGAGTAGGGAGCTCTTTGTGAAGATAGGCCAATCCCTTAGCTACACCTTTTATGATCTTTAAGCGGGTTGGCCAGTCAAGAGCTAGTTGTTGAGGACTTTGTTTACCTATATTAAATTGATTCAAATAAATTAAATTAGTATGAAACAATAGGGAAACATTAAAGGGAGTTGAGGACAAAATTCTAAGGAAATAAAAAGCGTTTCATAACTAACATTTTAAAATAAATTCAAGGTGATTTCTAGTATGTTATCATAGCAGAAAGAGGACTACAAAATGAAAATTGTGCGTTTATAAAGTCTGATGAAACGTAAGTTTGGTGGACGTAGAGGGTGCGTTAAATATTCAAATAAGTTTGTCTCCTATCTCACACCTGAAGCTTTATGAAAGGTAGTTTAAGATAGTATCATAGGAAACAGAATCGTTAGATCAAGTTTTGCTAATTAAACTATATACTCGTCAAGTTTTATGAAGAAGTTAGGTCTACCTGTACTTGAGGGGTCATGTTAAATAAAAAAATTAAATAAATCAATGTATTCCTTATCTCATGGTTTAAACTTTTAGAAGAAGAAGTTAAGATTTCACTTACCATGGAGGTGACTGGCCAAGCTGCCATGTTCAGCAAAATCAGATACCAAAAGTTTTTCTTCTTTTGTGTAGTAGAAAGCCACAAGAGGCAGCAGATTAGGATGAGACAACTTTCCTAGCTTTCTCATGTGTTCATAAAATTCTTTTTTTCTTAAACTGCTCATTTGTCTGAACCTCTTAACAACAAATCTTTGGCCATTATAAAGGACAGCCTTGTAAGAAGACCCAAAACTTCCACTTCCCAATACTTCAGCAGATGCTCTAAGAAGTTCTTCCAATTCAAATCTTTCCCTATCATTTCTCACAAAGTAGAACTCTCCTTGTTCATTGTTCTTGGAGATTTCACCCTTAGAAATGGTTGATTCCTTCTCATAAATTTCGGCAGTTTTTTCGAGTTCTTGTGGTTTTAGACATCGAGAGAAAATGAAAGAAGATGCAACAATGAATGCTAATGGAACTGCAACCGCGATGGCGACAAAGAGGGCTATTTTCAGGATAGACTTCTTTGTGCATTTGTCTAGAGGTTCACCACATAGATTGTTTCCTGTTTGAAACCAGAAGATAAGAAGGAAAAAACAAAGAGTAAAAGACGATTTTATATAAGTTAACGAGTAAAAGGATCTAGAACTTTTTAGATTTTCTGATTATAAATATTGCTCTTCTCTAACATTTGTTCTTGCTCGGGACCTCGAGACTCTCTTGAATGTTCTTTATTCTTACTCGGGAGGAGCTCAAGATAGTCTTGAGGTCCCGAGTAAGAATATAGGAGTGGAGTGGCTTTGAAGATTCTTAAATGAATAGTTGAATATCTTTGGCGGGCAAGGATGGAACCAATGAGGAGGTGGGGTGGGAGAAAGAAGATGAAATTCAGGTATACTTAAGAATGTCATAGAAAAGAAGACTAGTTTAAATAATTTGGAAATATGAGGCTCGTCTTCATTTACTCTTGACTTTACAAACGTGCATAACAGATTCTTCTGAATTGATTAAACATTTAGACAATTAGTTGACAACAACTAGACTTTGATATCATCTCCTATTTAAAAATATTACATTTATTTTTGTTTCTTGTAACTTGTAAGAGCTTCTATAGGAGACTTTTGAGAACCCCTGAAGTCCAATATTTGGATAGAAAGTTTTAGCAACGTAGAAAGATTATTAATCGAACATTTGCCAAGCTCATTTTTCATCGTCTGAACTTAATTTTCAGCAGTCATTAGATTTATGGATACATGTTGAACAAGAAAAAACGAATCTAACGTGAATGTGAAGGGCCGTGATATCTCGAATGGGACGTAAAAGGGGTCGAAGATCTTTAGGACTTACCTGAAAATGAGCTTTTATCCTGGTTTCTAAGTGTAGTTGGAATAGGACCTTCAAGTTTATTATTAGCAAAATTCACTGTCAAATTTTCCTGCCAAAAATCTGGTATCCTCCCTTCAAACTGATTGTTCTGAAGCTGCAATTCCGCAAGCCTTGGCAATTCCAGAAGGGACATGGGAATTTTACTCGTAAACTCATTATTTCCCATCAACACTCTTCTCACCGACTTCATGCCGGAGAAAACATCATCAGGAATCTCACCGGAGAATCTGTTGTTAGCCAAATACAGGCCTCTTAATCTACTGAGTTTTTTTAAATCACCTGGAAATTGACCGGCAAAGTTATTGTTCATGACACTTAGCGTTAGCAGCATCGGTAACTGAGCAAGGGAGTCCAAGTCGATCGTTCCCCCAAGCCCCATGCCTTTGAGTTGTAGCCCTGTAAATTGACCATTGTAACAAACCAGGCCTTTCCAGTTAGAATCATTACCATTGCACAATGTATCTGTCTTATTCCAATCATCTAGCGCAGTGGCATTAGAGAGATAACCCTTGAACTTGAGCAGGACTTTCACCTCCAAATCATCAGATGATACAGTTATAGCACATGTTAACAAGACAAAAAGCAGAAGAAACGGGTATACGATATTATGACTCATGCTCGTATAGAGGCTTTAACTCAGTCTATGCTTTTGCTTATGTCGTATGGTCCCGACCAATGTTAACTACCCAGGGGGGTAGGAAAATCAGCGAAAGAAGTTGATTTCTGTTGCATAGTGTTTGAAACTTTCAGAGGTGAAAATCAAGGCAGAAGGAGGATTCTAGAAATGATGAAATGCTAAGAGGCAGTAGGCCAAAATATGGTTGAAGACAAAGGAAGTAAATGGGCGTGGTGATTGACAAAGTCTATCAAGCAATAGCTGTTTTGGCCGGCGCCTTTCTAGTATTTCTTTTGCCAGTTTTGAGTTCATTCCATGTCTTGTATTTATTTGTTAACTTTTCAGCAGCTTTCATCTTTTTTCTTGTTATCAGTGATGCTTGATTTTGCCTTGGTATTCCCATCCGCATATATATTTTTTAAGCAAAATATTCGTTGTGATCTTTACGATGATTCTAGTTTGATTTTCACGTTGATCCTAGCATGAGCTCATAGATCTTTGGACTTTGATTACAAAGAAAGAATGACTATAAAGCCCGAGAATAGGTACTCTATTGCTCTCATTTCATATGTATAGGTTACAACTATCTACATTTCCAGTGTGCATATGGGCGGAAACTATTGGATGTCGCTTGAAGGCCAATCACAAAGCCCTAGCTTGTGCCATTGAAGGCTGAAAGCAAAAAAATGTTAAAACAGGAAAAAACAAACGGGAAAATATGGGTTAATACCGCGAAAATCACTCAAACCGACAAGCTATCAATTTTAGGCAAAAACAACACCAGCTTCCAACAAGAAAATAAAACCGAAGCCATTTATCCCAATATACCCTTTAATTGTAGTTGAAAAATAAAAAATAATAATAATTATGAGTGTAAGCAGTGACTTGATAGTAGTAGAGATGTATTTAGATGGGTGGAGGATAATAAAACAAACGGAAAAAGTCTATTTTAAGTAACTGTTAAGCTAAGCGAATATGCTCAAGCTTTGCACCATGCTTTCGCACCCTAGCGAAGGATCCAGAAAACTTTCTTTGGTTTTGGAGTTCCTTCATGGATCACAAGCCGTTCAGATTCAGATCCTACTAGCCAATAATTTTGTACATTTGGAAAAATATAAACATAAACAGCCTTGTTTTCATATTCCAGAAGTAAAATTATAGATACTCCTGTAACGAGTTGACACCCTATAAGCAAACAAATTATTAAGTCCTTAAAAAAAGAAAAAAAAAAGATAGCTAAGCATGTTTTAGGAAATCTAAAACAAACCAATCTAAACTTCACTAGCCATAAATTCAGCATGTATGCATGTTGCTTCTTGCATCGCCGAGATTACTCACAATGTTTATCTTCTAGAACAAGACATGTAGTAGTTGTATGTACAAGTGTGCTTTAATCTAGAGCTTTGCTCGCCATGAAACCTCTTCCCTCTTCTACACCACAAAAACTCACCAGCCGTATGAGAGTGTCTTAACAATGTGTACCCCATGGGTATGGTAGAGCATTTTCAAGTTGCCCGCCAACGACAACGCCCGACAGTTAATTCAACTTCTATTGACTGGTCTTAGAACACAACCAGCATCGCCAAACCCAGTTTGTACTGGTCAACACCACGGCTGTCACAAGACACGAAAACTTTACACATCATCTTCATAGAACTTCTATTAATGCATCTTCTATTATGCGTTCTAGGGATCATGCTGCTCGAGAGGAACTGATGGAAGAAGCGTAGTTCATCATTCATTTCACCATGGTGAACTATGTTGCTGGCTGACCAACACTTAGGATTTGTCCTTGGATTTATGAATTGAGCTATTGCGTTCCAATAGGTGATCTCAGGTGCTTCGGAACCTTCTCCAATATTATAGTAATTCACGTGCAACTTCAACGCTGATATAATGGAGGAATAAAGTGAGCATTATCTAGAAACCTATGCGTGGGGAGTTTGGGTTCCGTTCAGCTTGGTATGCTAGAGAACTCCAATTGGTCCGTCCCCTCTCCCTGACAATGTCCAGTATGCTAAAGAACTCCATTAGTAGCATTTCCCACTCTCAAAGAAGAGTCCAATTATTGAATATATCTGCACGTTGTGCCGCTTCCTCGGAAATATACATTTCGTTGATGGGGCTCGAGTGCTCGACCCTACCTTTTTTTTCCAGTGTTGGAGGACTCGACCACTCCATTTCCCATATTAGCTCTAGCAGTTGCGACTCTTGGAGGCATTGTGTTACAGTTATATCCTACAAAACATAAATAACATACTAGGCCAAATTATAATTCATCAACTTGCATAAGGAAAATATGCGTCTATAATGTGTTATATACGCAAGATGAAGTGAATAGTGTGACCTATGTGAAATTCTCATTATGTGTTGTGATCGTGGAGCGGACATCCCCAAACTTAATGTTAGTATCACAAGAAATTGAATTGAAAACTTTTCAACAAACACATGGTGTATAAGAGAAAGTCATAGGTCTCAACCATTCAATTCTATAAAATTTATGTATTAGGTTTGGCAGATAAAGAAATTGTGGGCAAAAATTGGCAAAAACCTAGTTTTGGAATTGCAACATACACCTTGTGTGCAAGAACAAATATCAATCATCCACTTATTTTGCCACTTTCAAGAAACACAATCAATCTATGCAATATTGGAAGTGTACAAATATGATAACAAAACCCTATTCTCTAATTAACTTGTAAATACAAAAAGGCTGATCCAACAAACCCTGCATTAACATGTGCTCTGATGCTTAAATTCCAAACAAAAGTATTAGATTCATACCAATACTTAAGCACAGAAGTAGAGCTATCAACAGCATTCAATTCAACATATAAAGATATCAATTTTGGAACAACTGTAAGGGGTAACCGATGCCTTGTTTCACTATCAGCCAATTGTTAAATCATTCATTTCATACCAAAACACATCAATTGCCAGCCAACTAAATACAACAAAGTTATGTACAGGAAAAAAAAAGGTCGATTACCAACACATTGAATGAAGCCAAAATTTAACTAATAACCTAACAATTAAAAATGCAAAGTGTCAGATTTTAAATACCATCATTGTTTTCTTGTTGTACATTCACCTATCCATGCTTCTTCAAATTCATATTCATCTCTATCTTATCAACATATCACGAATCTGCTTCCTTTGACAACTATTCATCGTCTGTGTCGTTCTCATCTTGCTTCTTCTTGGCATAAACAATTGCGCAGCCAAGTTTTTTTTCTAATTTATGGAATCTTACATGTCTTTGGCATTTCATTTAACATTTCATTGATGAAATACTGTCCATACTTACATATATTCCACAATCTCCACTGCAAGCAATTAAAGAAGAATTTGGACAATTGAAGAACTGAACATCAAATGAAAAGAAAAATATATATTTAGAAAGCAGTCTAATTCGTTCTTTTGCTATGAAAGTTTTGAAACCATGTTTACAACCAATGGTTTCACGGCATCTTCTTCTGCAATGCCTTTCCTTCAAAGAAGTCGGTGTGAAAAAGAAGATGAGGAATTATAATTGATAACAGTTGAACAGCCTCAAGTACAAAAGACTTCCTCACAACCTTGTGGTAGGAATTATACACATTGAGGCACATATGTTGAATATCAAAATGACAAATAATCCAATGAGTAGAATTGGACATCCTCATTGGCATAAGAACATGGTCGAATGACTCCAATTTGTATTGCACGACATGTAATAACATAATGACAGAATAGAAGTCTGGTTTGCTAGGGTAGATTTATCTTTGCAAAATTCATCATGCATACCTCTCATTTGGCTATCAAACGAAAAGTTGGTGGTTGTAGCTTTCATATTTATACCATTTCCATGTCTTCGCATCTTTTTAAGTAATAGAAACACACATCAATATGCTACTAAAAAAAGAAAAAAAAAAAGACAAAGTCAACAATGTACTAAAAAATATATAAAAGAATCTTAAACACTAACAAAATAACTTACTGTGTCATCCAGAAAATTTTTTTTTTAAAAAAAGTGACATTAGAAAAAGTGAAAAAAAAAAGTGCATATTCTCCAAAAAAAAATTATTTTTTGTAATTAGTTGGACTCAAACATGGACAAATTACATTTTCCTCATTTACAAGAAACCTATCTAATAGCTTATATAACCTCGCATTAGAACATGTAAACCAGCCCAAACGAGGTCCGTTGCAACAGGTTATCCAACAAAGACTAAGCATGATAAAATAGCAACAAATCCCATTACACAGACCTATATTGCCACCAACATACTGAATAATGTATCTGAGTCTCTGACAAAATATTATTAACAAAATCTCCACATAAATGTGAACAACATGCCCTAACATACTGAATCGAGTGCATAGAAACATTTTCTAAGGTGATGCATCATAAATAATGACAACAATCATTAATAACAGCTAAATTTATTCCACTTTTGCAGCTAAAACAGTGAAAATGTTGGCTACTTAGGTTTATAAGATGAAGAAATTATGTTCTTCTTCGAAGATGGTTCCTCGTCCATATTTCTTTTTCTATTCAACCCACTTTCTCCGGCCATTGCAAAAACAAAAGTTAGAGTTAGAAAAGGAGAAGACGGAAGACGAATGGAGACGGACGGAGATGGAGACGAAAGAGACGGAAAACGGCCGGAGACTTAGATTTGAGTCCTAAGGTTTCTCAGAGATAAAACCGCTATTGAGGGCGTTCTTACACAAATATCCTATATTTTTGGATAGTTTTGAAAAAAATATGATAAATACTTAAAATTAACCATAAAACATACGCTCAAACCTACAGACACTCGTTCTTCCACAAATATCAGCCTCCAATCTCAAAAAATAAAGGAATATTGAAAGAAAAAGGGGGAATTCTCATTATTGTTTATATACAAAAGATGAAGTGAATAGTGTGACCTATGTGAAATCCTCATTATGTGTTGTGATTGTGGAGTGTACATCCCCAAACTTAATGTGATATAGTATCACAAGAGTTTGGGATT